CGGCACTCTAGCCCAGGCAACAGAATGAGACTCTGTCTCAAAAAAATAAAAAAATAAAAATAAAAAGAGAGAATGTAATGGTAAATGATTCTTGTGGACTTTTTCTTCAAATGAGCCAGACTCAAATGTTGAGTTTGCAAAGCAGTTATGTGAGCTGTAGCAACTTTTGGAAATTGTGGTCTATGTGATGAAAACTCTTGTTGGAAGAGAAGAAAATCCCACCTCTCCAGGATCTTTCTTTCTCTCTGTTTTTCCCCGCTAAGGCTCCCATGGATTCTGAGAACACTGCAGTAGCTATGGCTCCTGACTGCTTCTCTAATGGCAAGAGCCACAGCATCCTTTCTGAGTTTGGAGCATCCTCTCCAAACCCAGCCAAAGCCAGCTGTGCTCTGCTAAAAATGAGAAAAGCACAGTCAAGGCCTAATTCCCAGCTACCAGTCTAACTCCAAGCCCAAGTGCTCATAGCACCAGAAATAGGGAGAGAAAGAAAATTCAGAATAAATCCTTGAATTATGTCATAATCAGAAAAAGGCCTAGATCTTTGAAAAGATGGGGAGTTCAGAGAGATAAAGAGGTGCTGGGCAGTAATTCAGCAAGTAGAGAAAAGCAACACATGAGTTCCACACAGCAGACCTACCTTTCATCTACTCTGTTACTATAACTCAGACAGTGTTAAGATAGTCTGCAAAATACCGTCTTGGACAATGGCCATCATTAAGCCAAATGGTGGGTCCCACTTCCCTTGCCTATAAGAGGGCAAGATTTCCTTTGGCCAACCTGCACAACCTGCTAGTCCCCAGGACCAGATCAGGACTGGAGCAGGTGTATCACCTGATGTACCTCACTTTGAACGGCCTCAAGAGTCTTAGCAGCAAAGGAGGTTCTAAGAATAAGAGCTGGGTACCTGGAAGCCCAGCACAAGCTCACGGGAGTTACAGCCCAAGTCTGAGGGAGAAGCCATGCCTGCAGAGAGAATAGTTGTACTGCTCCTCACAGTCTCCCTCCAACTGCTGGGCCTCCTGCTGGTCCACATTAGTGGGTATCTGAAGTCTGCCTCTTCTTAGGCTCCTGGGTCCCTCCTTTGTGTTTGCATCAGCCCTAGGAAGCCTGAGAAAGCACAGGGATTATAGTAGAGAATGAAGAGGGAGAAAGACAGGGAGCCAGTGCTGAGCTGCACAGAGATTTACTTTGACAAGTGAGCCAAAAAATGTTGGTGCAATACCTGCTCTCAGTAGGCCGAGATGAGCAGATTACTGAGCTCTGTCAGTGACTAAGGACAGCTGGAAACATAAAGACCAGATAATTTTGAGTTTGTTTTTCTGTTTCAACAAAGAAAAAATGTATTTGGACTTTTTTCTCTCCCTCTCTTTCAGGACGTAGCATTAGCTGGCTTCCTCCACAATAAGCCCCCAAATAGAACAAATGCGTGAGAGGTGGGAGCATTGAGGACAGCCCAAAAACAAAATTAGAACCAGTCCTGGGAGGCAGCAGAATCCTAGATTTTTCACAAAATCTGCTCTCCAAATCTGGCTCCAGAAACACTGCTCTTTTGCTAAACTGGCAACGGTTGTCACTGAGAATCTCAGCACTGTATCACACTTGTCAATCTGAGGTCCTTGGCAATGAGTCAACTGTTTTGAAACTGGTGTTTGTCACTCTCTCCATAAGCTGTCCCCGCTAGATCCCTTTGATTTCTCATTTATTTCTTTCTCCCCCTGTCTGTAACATTTTCAGGAGGCCACAAGCCAGTCAAGGGGAAAAGAAGGCAAGGCAAATGTTGATTTTATTTTGCAGGTGTCAATATGTGAAAGTCACCATCTTTGGGAAATATAGGGCTAAATAACTGAAATGGGCAATTCATAGGGACAAATCCTGGGTTTGCAGGGAGAGATTAGTTGAGCTCCAGTGTGCTCAGATCTCATTTCTGTGCTCAGTGATTCTCTTCATCTGGTTGGCTGATATGTGAATCTCATCTTTCAAGACAGGCCCTAAGTGTCAAATCATTTTTCTTGTTCCTCTCCTGATAGGATACTTATTAGCAGCCAGCATCCTTTAAGTGAAGGTGACCTCAGAGAGGATGAAAAGTTTTCCCTGTCAATTCTGGCCCTTTAGTGGGCTCTCCAACCCCAGCGGAACTGGATGTGAACAAACCTGTTTAGCTCAGCAAATCCAGAAAGCTGGGCAGTCAGGGATGCCGCTGCAAAAGTTAACCCAGACCAGCATAAAGATCTGAGTAATGGACAAAGTGCTGTGTGGGCACTCATTATTTACACTCAAATTGAATTAAACGGATCCAGAGCCAACTACTGACATGCAGCTGTCTCTGTCCAATGGCCAGTTCATCTACTCAAGTGAGAGGTGATGCTGAGCACTAATTCTTTACTTCCAGCAAAACTAGGCAAATATTTTTAGAATATGTCATATATAAATAAATATATACCAGGCACTGCTAGGTACTCAATGTATTTTATTTCATTTAATCCTCACAGTCACTCTGTAAACTGTTTAGTGTCATCCCATTATCATAGATCAGGAAATTGAAGGCCCAGAGAGATTTAAGAACCCAGGAACCTAGAATTCAAATCTGTGTCTCTAGACTTAGAGTGCTGGGCTCTTCCTAATACCCCAAAGCTCCTCCAGACTTCCACCTGCACACACACTAGGCAGATTTCAGACTATAAAAGCTTGGGATTAGAGGCTATCTAATAAAATAATATGTAAACAAGCCAACAGCAAGGACAAAGCATTAACTAAGGGAAGCATATAATAACCTACTCCATTATATTAGGCAAATTTGTGAACACAAAATTCTGTATTTTGTTTTAAGCCATTTACATTACTTAGTAAAACTAGAGTATGTTATGGGATTAGCAATGAAAATTTCAAAGACCCTCCCCTTTTTTTTTTTTTTACAGTTTTCAGTATTTCTAAAAATAAAAAAAAATCTTTTTAAACAGAAGACAATATTAAATTTGCTTAGAGGATTTGGAATTGTAAAAAAATACACAATTGGAGGTGATGATGTTGCTAAAAGAGTTCTCTAGCACATAGACCTGGTTGCCTATTGAGGATGAATTGATAGTGCTATAATATAAAGATGGGTCTGAAAATACTGCAGAAGGCAGCCATGAACAAATGTACTGGAGCATATACAGATGTGCCCTTCAGTCCAAACTCCACACCACACGATGTCAAAAATCATGAAATGGAGTTTATTAGACAGGAACTCCCCCAAGTAGAAATGTCACAAACGCATACGTAGAAAAATAAATGTGTTTCTCTGGCAGCAGGGATAGAGCAAACATGAAAACTAAGAAGCGTCAAACTGAAGCTAGTTGTCTGTAGCACAGAGGTGGCTCGGCACGCCCTGTTCAAAGCTCGGCAACTGGGGCTCTGCACTGCTCTGGGGTCAGGGCAGAAGGTCAGACATTTGTCAAATCATTAGGAAAGGTTTATGCTAAAAAGAGAACACGATAAATATATTTGGCTAACAGAACCCATGTATTAAAACCCTTTAAGAGCTCCAGAACACAATAATTATTACTGCTATTATTAGGAATCATCTTTTTTAAAGAATACAAATATATACACATGTATATATATGTAAATATATATACTGATATTAGTAACAATCTTTTTAAAAGAGTGTGTACATGTATAGATAGGCATATATATTATAAATAATTATATATACCTACATATATATGTATAAACAGTTTTACATTAATGAGGTGCTTTGGTGTTTTATGTTTATTATCCCTAATCCTTTACATTTTAAACAATTAGTTTAAGAATTTAATTAAACCAACATCACTCCAAAGGTAGCTCTAATGTTCAGGTCAGTTTTCCCTTTTATAGGATATAACCTCAATCTGTATCAAAAAGTGAGTATTCATATAAGCCATCATCACAACTTTTAAATGAAAAAATATGTAAAAATGCTAAAATGTATTAGTACTTTTTGCTATATGTCGAATTCTTAGGAGACACAATAAGCAATACATTTTAAATTACCATTAAATTAATTTAATTTACAGTATTTTTGCTTTTATAATAAATTATCTATTCTCACATTCTATTTTATCTTGATATGTTATGCTAAATACTTGGTAGATGTGTAAGAGACACATAAATTGGTTCTCATATAGCTAGCCAAAATTATTTCTGACATCCTTTATACAAAGCAGAACTCTCCAATAGTCTGTTTTTGGACCCAGAGGCAATATTCAAGAAAATAAATCAAATAAATATAGCAATTTACAATGGTTCAACATGGTTACTGTGGATGTTCCTATTCTTAGCATTTATCTATCATATTAATACTTTTAAGCTGTACAAATTTATGTGAGTAAGAACTAGAAATATTTAATCAGGATTTTTAAATCTCTTGCACATCTTTAAATCATCATACAGAAATTTTATAGTAATGAGCTTTAAAATTACTAACGGCAACAAGGATTATTATAATACTAAAATTGGAGTTCCACTACTGCAGTTTAATGCAGTTCTAGAGGAAAAAAGAAATGACCAAAGTCAGACCACAAAAGAAAAGAAATCACTACTTAGTGATATTACTTGATTACCCAAATAAAGATAAGCTAAGAGAACATGTTTATCTCTTGCCAGAGGCAGCCTCTTTGGCCTGCTCACTTCCTATTCTAAATTCTGTCCTTAACTGTGTATGAGGGTTCCCATTAAGGGTTGGGTGATTCACACACACTAGGTGATGATGTAGCTGAAGACAAGATCAACCCCCTAATACGTTGTGTGCTGCTAGTCTCTGGCTAATAAAGTGCAGCAGCCTACAGGGGTTGTGCCATTGTGCATGATCCTTCATGTTTTTCTATGTTTTTTTGTCCCCCAAGCAGAAATGGCAGATGATGCTTTTCTAGCTAATGTCACAGATTCAGAAACCTCAGAAGAGGCATCTTCAATAGACAGTACACAAGGGACAGTATTGCAAATCAATTAGATATATTTCATATTTAAAATTAAGTTACCTGATTTCCAGCATGTCTTCTGTCCTCGAAGAATGATGCATTTATCTTCTCAGTTATTTGGCAGAAACTGGGATGACTGGGGTTAAAGACTGTTTTCTGACTCTAAAGAATTAATCTGTCTTAGCAACTAAAACTACTTTATATTCCAGCCCTAGAGCAAAAGGATCCTGCTCGTCTCTGCTGTGTATTTTACAGGAGTGTTATGGATTTTACTGCATTTACACAAACCCAATACTATATAGAAGCTGCATCTAAATTAGTAAATATCTTACTAAAGCAGCTATGAGGCTTTGGGGAAGGATAACGTAGAGATAAAGCTGTAGGGAAAATGATTAAAATATATATTAATCTGTTTTTATATTATCATCACATTGAAATGTAAGTTTGAAATCCATTACCTTATTCTCCTAAGGGTTATATTTGGGTACAAAAGAAGCATTAACCTTGAACCTTATACACTGTCTCAGAAATTTCATAGACCTTGGATGTAATGCAAATTATAAACATATTAAAATAGGAGGAAATGATATAAATAGTTGCAGACTATGACCAAGAATGCATTCAGGTAGCAAAAAGTTATGTTAAAATTTATGAGTGAGTTGGCTCCTTTAGTCAATATAGGAAACAAAGTATTCATTAAATGTTCAATTAATATCTTCAAAGGCCTACTATGTACAAAGCACTATATATAAGACACTGAGGAAAGTAATCATGAAAAAGCCATAGCCCTGTCCTAATAATCTAAACAGAGAGATTATAAAAACAATCTATTTTGGAGTTTCCTAAGCATGTTGCTTTATTAAACCAAGAAATCATTCACCAAGTAAATTTTTTAAAAACCTAGCAAAATGAATGTACTGCATTTCATGGTCATGCAATCAATTTTCTGTTCCATGTCTATTATTTTAGGAAAATGGGCTCAGAAGACTCCATTTGTAATAGATTTTATGTGACATTTAGTTAAGAATTTTTTTTGACCTCCAAAGTCTATCAGGAATTAGTAACATCTGGCCAAAGGGGAGTATTACAGTATTCTAACCATTTCTTCTGACTCAGGCGACAGCATTACAAAAAGTAAGAGCTGTTTGCTTATTAGTTTCTCAATATCCAGGATTTATACTGTAGCTGGACCATTTCTGAAGCACTAAAGTACTCCAATGCACTCAAAACACTCTCAGATTACATATTTCAATGTGAGCATCTGGAATATTCTCTTTAGTTGGCACACCTTTGATTCTATTCTTCATGCTGAGATGGGACCAGAGCCCTTATGCTTAAGGATTAGGGATAATTGAGTTTCAGCCCATTTGCTTAGAAATCAACCTTACAATGGGGTGTCATGAGTACTTAGCAATGCATTATCTCCCAAAGCTATGCAGCCAGTGTTATCTGGACACAGAGGGGCACTTATATCCATTAATAATATGCATTAGCACAGCACATTCAGTCCCTACATCTCTTAGATGTTGACATTTAGGGAGCAAATTTCTGCTTCCAGATTTTGCCATTTTGTTCTACTAAGTACAGGAAAGTGATGTTCCCTGTGCCCATCTCAGGAGCATGTAGTCCTGGTAGGGTCTAACCTGAAGGAGAATTTTCTCAACAAGTCAGCAAAGGAAGGGGGATCAGCCACATTCACGTGTGAAGAATGCCCACTCTTGTCCACACCAGGGTTGGTGTAGCCATGGACATCAGATAGCTTGGCATTGGCTGGGCAATGGGACCATGATTTCAGGAGTGTAGCCCTGAGGAGCAGAATTCAGGCAGAAGTTGGTGATACAAGGAACATGGCCAGTCTCCCAAGGAGGAGCTGGTAAGGAGGTCGTCAGTTTTAACAAAAGGAAAATAAGGGAAAACTCAAGACTTAAGAACTGGGCTAGTAGGAGAAGAGGTGGTGCTAGACATGCAGATACCTTAAGGCTCACATCAGTGTACTGGAATTAGGGTTTATGACTGACTCTAAGCCCCATTAAGCTGGTACAGTTGAGGCTGCTGCTGAGTTTAAGAATCACATAGCATTGATCCTGTCAAATGTCTCTACATGTAGAGGTTGAGGAAGGCAGAGGTTGACATGCACTTTCCAGCAGGGGGCAACCTGCAGAGTCACCAAAAGGATAGAATTTTAAGCTCTACCTAAGGCCTCGCACTGGCCCAGAACACTACACCAGGATTTACGGGCCTGAAGCAAAGGAGGTTTAGATTTTAAAAAATTCTGCTTTATGGGCAAAGAATGACAAATAAATCAGGAAGCTGAAAAAGGATTGTAAGAGTAAAAAGGCTGAAAGGAAAAGGAAAGTAACCCTAAACCCAGGTGGAGAAGTCAGCTAACACAAAGAGTCAGATAGGCGTAGTCAGGCAGGACTGAGGGTGGGTCCAGCTAAGACATCAGCTAAGGTGGAATGTTTCAGGCACATTCGTATAAAAGCAGGGACATGTCTTGTTCATTTTAGATTCCCAGCCATATAGCCAGTGTAAGTATTGTGGAAAGGAAAGAAAGGAGAAATGGAGAGAGGAAGGGAAAGAAGTCACTAGACAGATGAGTAATAAGAAAAAAATGTGGGAACAGAAGTCAATTTAGCTTGGCTGGAAATTAGTAACATTAAGTTCTATCCTGACTCTGCCACAAACTAAATGCTGGACTTTGGATATAAATTACTTAATATCTTGACACCATAGTTACTCCATCTCCAAAATGCATGTATAGATTAGATAATAAAAAAAAATTTTTACTTCAATGAATATTTTTTGAATGCCTACTAACTATTGAGGTCCTAGGTTTGAAGATCCTGATATAATAACAGTAATAACCAGGAAATGCTAGAGTTCTGATTCTAAAGTATATCCTTTGTTTTCTGACTAGTTTTGTAAGCCCTGTTGAGTGTGGGTGCTCTTGGACCACATGCTAATTAAAACCATAAGTGACAGGCCTGTTCCTCTTTGAGGCAAAACAAATAGAAAGGGATTACATTGCATGTAGTCTTTTGCAATCAGAAATATGAAAGTCCTAATGCATCTTACCCCTCCCATTATGCATTTATGTTGTGTTGAAAGGATGAGTGAGCAAGAAATTATTGAGTGCCTATTTTATGCCAGGTGAGGAATTGAATACTTTCACCTACATAATCTCATTTAACTCTCATAGCTATGGCTTGGATATTAATTTCTTTGGTTTTTTAGGGGGGAAATTGTGACAGGAGCAGGCAAAATGGATTTCTCAAGGTCACTTTAACTCCAGATACAGTAGTCTCCATTATCTGTGGTTTTGCTTTCTATAGTTTCAGTTACTTTTCATCAATTGTGGCTCAAAAATATGAAATGGAAAATTCCAGAAATAAGCAATCTATAAGTTTTAAATTGCATGCCATTCTGAGTAGTATGATGAAATCTCGTACCCTCCCACTCCATCTGTCCTGGGATGTGAATCCCTGTTTTGTCCAATGTATCCATGCTGTCTATGCTACCCACTTGTTAGTCACCTAGTCTGTTACTTAGCAGCCACTCAGTTATCAGTTCTTCTGTTGGGGTTCTGCAGTGCATGTGTTCAAGTAATCTTTATTTAACTTAATAATGGCCCCAAAGTGCAAGAGTAGTGATGCTGGCAATTCAGATATGCCAAAGGGAAACCATAAAGTGCTTCCTTCAACTGAAAAAGTAAAAGTTCTCAACTTAATAAGGAAAAAAAATCATATGCTGAGGTTGCTAAAGAAGATTCAGTAAGAACGAATCTTATATCTGTGAAATTGTGATGAAGGAAAAAGAAATTTGTGCTAGTTTTGCTGTCACACCTCAAACTGCAAAAGTTATGGCCACAATGTGTGGTAAGTGTTTAGTTAAGATGGAAAAGGCATTAACTTTATGAGTGGAAGACATGAATAGAAACATGTTCTAACTGATGGCAATCGGGTCTTGCAATGTATCCCCCATAGATAAAGAAGGCACTACGGTAGTTTGAATCCAAGGCTAGAATCCTTTCTGCTATGCTACAGCACATCTTAACATTAGCTTGTCCTAAATAACATAATGAATAAACATGCTCAAGCAGTAGGTTTTCCCAGAAAGCTAATCTTTACCATAAAAGCATTTGTCAGAAATTCTGTTCACATGTTATGTTGGGGTTGTCATCCTACAGGTGGATTCACGTAGAACGTGATGAGGGTGGGAAATCAAGACAATGTATCTTTATAACTGGTATATATCTCAGTTCATCCATTATAAAGCCCACTTAAATGACTGTATAAACAATGGTCCTCAATTTAAACTGGTTTAGTATTTCTAGCTGTGCATGTCAACCTGTGTAACTCAGTTATGAGGCATGCTAGGCCTTCAGTGCATTGGTAAGGATATGGAGGAAAGCTGGCAATGGTGGGATCTGATGCTAGGAGAATAAATTCAGCTTTAGAATAGGTCCTCAAGGATGGCGGCCAGCTTCTCAAATCATAAAATTCTAAGTGGAAGAATAAAATTTGGGAGCAATTTGGCAAAGTCTCATCACCCACAGGATCTAAACCAGTGGAGGATATAAGCCAAAGGAAGGTCATGGCCATGGCAGTACTGGAGTCAGGTGGGTGGTGGAAGCTGTGTAGCTCCAAGAGACCCATCTGACATAAAGAAGGACTCCAGCCCATGGCAGCCCTTGGGGTGCCTATTACAGACCAAAAAGAAAAAATGGAATCTCAAACAAGCCAGTTGGGGTTTTAGGATGGGGCTTCAGTCTCAATGGAGAAACTGGAGAGAACAGCAACAAGCTAATAGAACAATAGGCTTAGTCCTATTGTTATGCAAAATATTCCAAGGATTCAAAACCAGGCTGAAGTTTTATAGCGCAGGCACACTGCGCTTAGGGTGGCAAGAAAGATTCTAGACTTACTGCTAGGGGTGGGGATAAGGATGATATTTCCTAATATATTCCCACAAGATAATTTATAATTGGCTTTAGACTGAGTTGTCCTGAGCCTATAAATGAAAACTTTCCATACTTAACAGCTGTTCCTGGGTCAGGCAGAGACTGACACATCACACCATGGTTTAATTTAATTTGCATACATTTTATAACCAAGTAATGTATCCATTACTTTGTATCTCAGGTATGGTAAAATCCCCAAAGAATTGCATTCATATTCTTTTGTCATTATAATACCCAGTATTAGTTGGATCATTATGGGCCTTTATACACTTTCATTAACATTATTACCATTGTAATGAAAACTCAATAAAATTGTAATGTTATTTTACA